CCTACTAATTGACAATGCAACTGTTGACGTCAGCAGCACCCGAAGTACTTAAAGATGTCGCCCATGCAGAACCATCGCCAATACCAGGTATGTGCCCTCGCATCATTATCATCATCATCCTTCTCTCTCCCCCTTGACTCTCTCCCACGTCTCCCTTTGTTGTACACCCGAAGACCACCCCTGCGCCTCACTGTACATCCAAACCCTGCCAGCTATGGAGGCTGGGCTATGGCGCTGCCCTCAGCAGCGCCCTGCTCCTTGCACGACCGCACGTGCCTGCGCCTCGCCGCTCAGCGCTAGCAGCAGCCCACGACCTTCAGCTCCAGCAGCGCTGCCGCCAGCATGCGAGTGCCCGAATGACTGGCCAGGCAGCGAGCTCTTTCCTATATGGAAAGAGCCTGCCTCGTTCGGCAGCCTGCTGGCCTGGCCTGGCCCCAGAAGCTTCCGGTAGGCCCCAGGATGCTGCGCCTCTGGTGCAGCTACTGGGCCTCATTCGGTTGGGCCTCCCAACTGTGTGTATGAGGCTGCGAATCTCGCCCAGGGCCTGTACTTTCGGAAAGGCCTAGAAGGCCTGGGAATTTCCATGCTGCTTGGCCTGTGTTTCCCTTCAACCAACTGGCGCGACGAAACTGCCTGGACCCCAAATGCGAAATTGACACCCAAAGGCCTCTCGTGATTTGTTAGGCCCGCCTTCAGTTAGGGCGGGCACAGATGCTGCAGGGGGCCCCTTAGGCCTGCCGAGGACCCATATCCTCGCACAATTACAAAGAAGAAGAAAAAAAGTGGAAAATCGGCAAGCCTGTCCGTGCACCACAGAGAGAGAGAGAGAGAGAGAGAGAGAGAGAGAGAGAGGAAGGCAGGAGAGGGAGGGAGTAGACACGGGATTGAGCAGGATGGTCATCGGGACTAATTAAAAAGAAGGGAAAAAAAAGTGGAAAATCGGCAAGCCTATGCGCACACCAGAGAGAGAGAGAGAGAGAGAGAGAGAGAGAGAGAGAGAGAGAGTCCAACTTCTTGGCAAACATTCCTTTTTTATTGCGGGCGTAGCCGCAACAGGTACCCTAGTCATGAACTTACTCACACAGTCAAACTGTCAAATGCGAGGCACAAGGCCTCGATGAGCCCTACTGGGCCCCTATTTGCAACAGCGTCGGCTGCCCTAAGTGAAGGCAGGATCGACACACCCCACGAGGTCTATTTTGGACTACTACACAACTGGGGAAAATTCAGGCAGTTGCGCAGCGCCAGTTGTTTGGATGCGCCCAGGCCCTGGACTTCTTTATCAAATGCATCTGAGTCAGGGCCTGGGCGAGATTCGCAGCATGGACCCAACTCAGGCTGCGGGCAGTTGGGCACTAGTAACCACCACAGGCCCTGGGCCTGTTTCCCTTGAATGGAGGCGCAGCCTCGTTGGGCCTACCGGAAGCTTCTGGGCCAGGGCCCAGTACCTCACGACTGCACGCAGCAGCAGGCCACTTCGATATAGGGAAGGGCCTGCCTCCGCATTGGACATTCGGGCACTGGCTGCTTTGTGCGCAAGCGCTGCTGCGCTATCGCCTGCCAGGCTCACGCGCTCACGGGCGAGCTGGAAGGAGCAGGCAGCCATAGCCGAGCTGCGCTGCTGTATGCTGGATGGGGCACATGGTGGTCCTTGGGTGCAAGTGGCATCTATGAGTTGGGGAACGAGGTTGTGAGTGATACGAGAGACATGCCTGGTGCTTGACGCGTGCGGCATTGGCCGAGGTCTGCTCGTACTTGGGAAGCTGTTGACGTCATCAGCGACATTGTAGTCTAGGCTAGATAGGATCTGCCATTCGTAGTCTGGGCGCCGAGCGTCAGATAGGATATCAACATTGGTTCTTCGATTGATGATGATGAGACTCTTCCAGCATTGTCAATTATGAGCTTTTGGTGTGCTCTTATTTGGTGAAACTTGTGATGCAATTCTCCCTTTGGTTCGAGGTCACTACTATCTGGTCTCATGTGTCTGATGCTGTTTGATTGCTGAAGTTCGTTATTGCTCATCTTCCTTGCAATTTGGTATCGGAGCTGTGGTTCGGTGCGCTAATCTGGCGCTTATCTTCTGTCTAATGCGGTACATGCACACAGTGTGTACGGTGAGCGACCGTGCCGTGGGACGTGTGGAGTGAGGAGGGCGAAGATAAGTGGCGACCCAGGAGGTGAGGGGTATCGCCAGGAAGGCTATGTGGTGTGATTATTGGTTGTTCGCAGTGTGATGAGAATTATCCGGTGTGTGATTGATGCTGAGGTGGAACGGTTGTGCAATGCTGGTTGTGCCGAGGCAGCGATTGGTCATCACAATCAACATCGGGTCATCTGGTGAGAATATTTGTGGTTGGGGGCAGCTATTTTGAGGTATGTTGCACCTAACCTTATCTACCCTCTTCAACACTTCTTACCGTGAGGATGTGTGTTCTGTCTTGAGAGTCCTCTCATGTGAGGAGTCGTGTGCGCTCAACCTTGAGAGTCGTCAGCCTTCACGTGGAGCAGTTCGAAGGAGAGGGCGGAGCTATCTGAAGGGCCCTGGACGAAGCACTGGGTCATGGTCACCATGCCAACCCACCGGGAGTAGAGCATGCATGCTTTGCTGCTTTGTCCTTTGTCTGCTCGCTGCACTGTAGAGGGGTTCTGAAGGGCAGGCCAGCCCAAGGGGACAGACGAGACCGGGCGTCTATAAATAAGCACCGGCTGGATACCTTCCATTGGATGAGATCGCCGTCCTGTTTGTGACGTTAAATAATTCCTAAGAACTTTGGGGGCCGTCCATAAAAACGCCTCCTGATCAGCCACTCGGTCGGTGTAAGGCTTGCTGCACGCGAGGATAAATACGGTGCAGGGCTGGCCAGCTCAGCAGGACTCGGGGCACAGGGGTGGGCCGTGTGCACACCTTTAGACACGCACGTTATCTGGATTGCTCAGGGACGTTGACGACAAGAGACATTCAAGAAGAATTGAGGGAGGGGTAGATTCCAGGCGATAAGTTTGGGCAAGATTCC